TTCTGTTTGGTTTACCAAATGTTGACTCAACAGCTGTTGTGGGCCAGGACTTACTAGGAGCTGGGGTACAGAGATGAGGATGCATGAATAACACACATTGGAGAGAAAGAAAGATACAAGCCAAACCATGGGTGTCCAGATGGAGAGCAATGAGAGAGGTATGTAAAGCTGTTGCTTTTGGAATCTTTTCTTGTAATGGACTAATGCCTACTTTCATATGTGTGTATGTGTGCCTTTGTGTGTATGTGTGTGTTTCTCTCTCTTCTATAAGTCAGTTCTTTGAATAAGGAAACTTGAACTTCTTTTCTAAGTCCTCTCACCTCCAAGGTAAACTTTGCCAATCTCAAGTGAACTTCCAGATCCATTTCCATTAATTGATCTCTGGATCAATTAATCAATTAATTTTGCAGCTTGCAAAAATGACTCTTAAAACTTTGCCATCTTGATTAAACATATTATATTGTGCTCTGACCAATTTCAATGAGTCAGTAGAATTGTAACCTCCCATGATCTGAGTACTATACTACAATTAATAAAACCAAAAACTGTAAGAGACTTTTACACTTCCATCACTTTATGACCCTGATGTCCTTGAGTTAAACCAACATTTTAAGCCCATGTCACACAAAAAACTAGTAAGCCAGATTTCCCTCACATCCATCTCATGGAATTGAGTTCTTGAACCAGAAGACATGCATATTTATGCTCTTATCCAACTAAATAAGAAAACACATCAAGCAGTACAGAAATGGAGACAGATGTTGAGGCACAAGACAGAGACTTTCTTCCACATTAACATCACTTTATTGGTCGATACAGTGGACAGTTACAGGTCCACCTTGCCAGTTCCCATTTTTTCACTTTGTACCCAACTAAGTGAGATTTTAACTAACAGTGCCACACAGTTGTGATGTATCTGTTTATGTAGTGACTCACAGCCCAAGGGAACTCCAAGATGCTCTCCAAGGGTCCTAGAACCCTCAGCTTCTGATTCACTTCCCTGGGGAGATGGGCAGGGGGAGAATCGCCATGCCAGGAGGGATGTCACTGGGGAGCGTTGCATCGTGAATGACAAGGAGGCCGATGAGAAGGTTGAAAACAACAGGTCTGTGGTGTCTCCTAATGACAATAATTGGGCAGGATTTGCCACCCCTCACCCCGTGAACCCATGTAGGGTTGTGGCAATCAGTGTGATTTGCCTTTCAGCCTTTCAGCCATCAGTTGAGAAATCCTTTCTAGAATTTGGAATGCCCATCCCCAGCCTAGCAGCCTGTTTTATTGGGTCTATTCTTTGAATAGAGGCATCTTTTAAATGGAGGCAAACTGGAAACTTCCCCTTTGGATTTTCGGCAATTCTCTTTCCATCCATGCTGTGTCATGATCACACTCACTAGCTTGGACATTTTGGGGCATGACTTCTGGGCCTGGGGCCCAGGACTCAACGTCCTGGGAAGTCTATGAGATCCCTTCTCAGCAGCTGGGCTGTGGTTCCCTTGCTACATTATTGATCAGGTCCTTTCCAGATTGCCTGGGTTCAAATCCTGTCACTGCTGCTACTAACCCCATTGTACCACTATGGGCAAGTTTCTCATACGGCAAGTGGAATCCTTACTTCCTGGCATTTTGAGGACACTAAATGAGTCAGCACACACAAGGCCCTGAGAATAACACCCTGCATAGGTAAGCTTTCTGTACAGGTTTATATGATTGTCGCTGCTGCTGCTTTTCTTGCTGGGGAAGGTGGAGGCAAACGAAACTTCCAGGCTTTGCCGACTGGCTCTGGTCTGAATTCATTGCAACCTCTTTTCCACCAGCAGAACTTTGTTGTTTTTTACTTCTTGCTATGAACATGGATTTAAAAGCCTTTTTTGGCTGTCGTTAGCTTGCTCTCTGTATGGTGTCTGCGCCTCTTTAATATTCATCTTTGGACATATGTCTTTCTTCCCTTATTTTGTATAAAGTTGTCGCTCATCAGAGAGCCACTGTACAGCCTGCTGGTGTCTTTGCTTTCTCAAGGGGCCATTCATTTTCTAAACACCCAGTTTCTTTCTCTGATCTCCTGTTTCTCCCAAGCTGAATGCACTGATAAGACACCAGGCACAGAGCTGAGTGTAGGCGTGGAGGGCAGAAGGCCAGGATTCAAGTAAGTCCTGCCTCTTCCTGGCTTTGTGAACTTGGAAGAGCTGTATAGTCCCTTTTAGGTATGACCAGGAGAATTAAATGAGATACTGCCCATGAAGCCAAGTGTCAAACACCTCGGAAGCTGGCAATCATGTGGATTAGTGATCTGGCTACAGATTCACACCGATTTTTTAATTTAGAATTTTGGAAATTTGCATCGCATATCTAACCTTCCTAGATGATGGTCTTACTCTCATCATCATTCTTACTATTACCACTGCCACCCAGAGTACTTTGTATTCCTTGAACACCTCCCTTGTGCCAGACTGTCTGGAGAACTTTCCATGCTGTGCCTCTTATTCTCATGACAGTCCTAAGAGGAAGGCAGCAATGTTATCTGCTGATTTTGATTCCAAGCTTTTTGGTGCCTCCATTTTATTTATATTCAGAAAACTGCTAGCTCCAAGCTGTCAATCACCAAATAACTCCCACCTTGAGTGATCAGAAGTACAGACCCAAGCCCCCTGGCCTCCTCACCCCCACCCATGGAGTTTGCCACTTTGGCAACCTCCTTGCTCTTCCTCCATGATGCCAGCACCTCTCTCTCTCACAAACTGTATTTTCCTTCACCCTGGGCCTATGCAAGCCTCTGAGGAGGTGGTAGCTTTTCACCTTTACACTTTTTAAATCAAAGTCAAAACCATATAATAAATTCACAAGAAGAAATGTATTTCTTTTTCTAAAGGTCAACCTCGCAAGTTATCAGAGAAATGCAAATGAAAACAAGTTCCATTTTTCACCAATAAAACTGGCAAAGATGAAACTCATTATCTATTCAATAATTGGCCAAGGTGTGGTCAACACGGGCTCTGTCGTCACCTTCCACTAGCCAGAAGATAGACAAATATATGCAAAATGTGAGCATGATAATTTACTCATTAAATCCATAACTCAAACTCCTCAGCGAATATGCTAAGGAGATCACTGAAGTCACACAAATATCCTTTGTACAAAGAGATCCATGGCTGCATGACTTCAAGTACTGAAAAATGGAAAACAACCTAAATGTTCAATAGTAGAAGACGGGTTAAATAAACTAATCTGCAGCCAAATGAAAACATACTTTCATCCCATGAGAACTAAGCAAGCTATAATGTTGAATGGAAGGAATTAAGAAACAAAACAGTAAAAACAAAATAACACACTAGGTTGATTATAAATATTGTTTTGAATGGAAAGAAAACGGAGAGACCAAATGCTTCTAGTTAACTTTGGGTGGTAGAGTTATAGGTATGTTTTATTCTCCTCTTTATCATTTTCTCTATGTTCCAAACTTTCTACAAAGACTATTTATGACTTTTATGATGAGAATACTTAATGCGTTTAGGTTTCATTATGTATCTATATCGAAGTAGCTCTGTCTGTGTGTATCCATCCATGTATGTTAAATTCTAACATGGCTCTCTCTACAGCCTGAGAAATGACATTGATCTCCAGATTAGCCAAGCTGCTGCCCAGGTAAGGGTATTTCCGTCTCCACCAGCTTCCATGTGATCCAGCCCCAAGCTCATGCACTTTGCTTGGTGAATAAATACCTTCTTTATGTGCTCTTCTCTGCTACAGCTTCCCATTCAGACTCATTAGCTCAGGTTGGAGCTGGAAGGAAACTTGTGGATGAATCAGGGCCTTGACCTCTCATGCACCATGGACCCTTCACTGTCTGGTGAAGTCTTGGATTCCCTCTCAGAAAAATTATTTTAAATGTATAAAATGCAAAGGATTTCAGGGGAAACCATGCATTCCTTGAGCTATGGGAAGGTTCTAGGCCATGCCCCCCATGTTTAACCAAACCTGATTTGAATTATTTTTGAGGCTGGCTGAAAAGGCTCTCATCTCAGGGTAGACGGTCCAGCCCTCTGGCCTCTGCCTATCCCTCCCTCTGAATGGCAAATGCAATCCTACTGCAGCTTTTCAGTCTCAAACCTCCCTTTCCACATGACCTAGGAAAGGATCCCTAGATCTTCACAGTACATTTACAAGGTCCACGTCATGTTACCATTCCAGATGAGGTGACTCTTGAAGCCCCAAGAGGTCAGTACAGGTGGGCAGGATGACCCCACCCTTAGTATTGGGAGGCTCACGTGACCACTCTGGCTAATCAGACCTCACCCAAGACTTCCCTGGGAACAAATGGGGAAGGAATGCTCTTCTTCCTCTAGGTGTGCTCAGAGGAAAGACACTGCCTGGGGATGTGGCCAATCCAGAAAGAAATGGAACTTTAGCGAAGGCAAGAAATTCTGAGGCTGAGGCCGGTTCCTGACTTTCCAGTTATGTAAACCTGCCCACCACCTCTCCCTTTTTCTTTATTCAGCCAGTTTGAGTTGGGTTCAGTTACCTACAGCTAAGTGTCCAGAATGGATTATGCCTATTTGACTGAGCAGGAAATCTGAGGCAGGCCAGATCTTGGCAGTCCCGTGAACAGAGTTCTATACTTCCTGACCTCGACACCTTAACCAGACTGCAAAATCAAGCAGATAAAGGCAGATTCCCTCCTCCCTGGAGGAGTCAGATCATCTGACCAAGAGGTCTGTTCATTGTTCTGATGTGTCCTCCAGTGGGGCTCAAACAAGAAGTTGGGGGCTCAATGCCACAAGAACCCCTCCCACAGCCACACCCGTGGAGGCATAGTGTCTACATATGTGAGGGTTCCACCTGTGTGGGTTCCTTTTTTGTAAACTTGTGGTTGCTGTTCTATTTCTCTTACCTGCACAGGCACCTTCAGGGAGGAGGGGTACAGGTGGGAATAACTCAAAGCCCTCCCATCACCTCCTCCTTCCCCAGCCAGTCACCTCCCTGCCTGTGCCACAGCCCCGGCTCACCTGTAAATCAGTACCTCATCGTCAGAGCAGTTGTACTGCAGCTGGTACATCTTCACTCTGGGCGCTGACTTGCTGACTGACCACTTGACCAGGGCTGAGGTGGTGGTCACATCCGACACCAGCACAGCCCTTTCCGGGGAGCTTTTGGGAGGCTCCCCAGCCCCACTGCCTCCACCTCCTCGACTGGTCTTGCTGGAGCCAGTGATATCTGAGAGGCGGGACTTGGGGGGTGCAGTGCGGCTGGTGCTGTTGCTGAGGTGTGGCAGCTGCACGATGGAGACCTCCACGGTGGCTGTGGCCTCCCCCGCGGCATTGGCAGCGATGCAGGTGAAGGCCCCACTGTCCTGAGATGTGGTGATGAGGATGTCCAGGGTGCCATTGTCATACACTGCGGTCCGTGAGGAGTTCCCCACCAGGCGGTCATCGGGGGCCACCCAGTGGATGAGGGGGCTTGGGTCCCCAATGGCCTTGCACTTGAGCGTGGCTGCCTGGCCCTCCAGAACCAGCAGCTTGTGTGTGTGCTGGGTGATGAGCGGTGGCTCACACACAAACTCCTCCTCTCGCACATGCCAGAAGTAGCGCCCCTTGAGCCCCCCGGGAGAGCCACAGGTCTCCAGGTCATCATCCCGCTCAAGCCTCCGCAGCCAGAGAAGCTCACAATTACAGTGCAGTGGGTTCCCCCCAAAACTGAAGGACAGGGGTGGAGCAAAGGGTGTTGCAGTCAGAACAGAGGCCTGGGAGCGGGCAAAGATGGGGTCTGGGGGCAGCTTCTGCAGCCGGTTGGAGGTGAGGTCGAGGCGGGCCAGCTTCTGCAAGTCGGCAAAGGTGCCCTCGGCAATGTGGTCCAGCAGGTTGTGGTCCAGGCTCAGCTGGTGGAGGTTGACCATGCGCCTCACAGAGCCCCAGGGCAGGCCATGGAGGTTGTTGTAGGACAGGTCCAGGTCCTCCAGCGTAAGGAGAAAGTCCTCAAAGGCCTCGTTGGCGATGCCGCCTAGCTGGTTGTTGTTCACGATGAGGTGCTGCAGGTTGACCAGGCCCCTCAGGGTATCCTCCCCAAGGCTGGGCAGTCGGTTACTGTCCAGGTGCAGGGAGCGCAGGCTCTCTAGGTCTAGGAAGGAGAAGGGCTGGATGTGGCTGATGGTGTTTCTGGAAAGGGTCAGGTCCACCAGCCCTGTCATGTTGGCGAAGTCCTGGCGACCGATATGGATGATGAAGTTGCCACCCAGACGCAGCTCCACTGTCCTCCTGTCGATGTCAGGAGGCACAAAGAGCAGCCCCTTGGAGGGGCACAGGGTTCCCAGTGACTCAGACAGATTCTGGCAGACACAGTACTTGGGGCAGGCGTCGACCACGGCAAACGCCATGCCAAACGCCAGCAGACCACCAAGCAGGGTCTCCATGGTCTGGTCACTCAGGCCGCCGAGGTGCCTGGAAGGAAGGAACACAAGATCGGGGTCAGGAGGTGACTTCCTAACTTGCTCACCCAGAGCTTCCTCCCTCACTCACACTAACCCCCTGCCTTGAGGAGCAGCAAAGAAGGGCACCTGCTCCTGCCAGGTGTAATCTCTTCTCCCAGCCCCTCCAATACAATTCCACTTTTTAATTTTTTTAGTTCTCATTTTATAACAGATTAATTTACATAGTGACTACGTATATGGAATATTCCCTCTCTTCCCCACTGGAATGTCAACCCCAAGAGGGCAGGTAATTTTACCTGTTTTGTTAATTGCTGTGTCCCAACCTTCAAGTGCAATGTCTGGGACACAGTAGGTGCTCAAGAAATGTTTGTTGAATGGGTGGGTAATTCCTTTCCAGTGGCTCATCTTAAAAATCATTGGGTTTAAAAAGCACATTGTGGCTTTATTTTGAAGTAGTTTTACTTAATTGCTTTAAATTCAGCATGAAATTAAATGGGACCGGCATTCCTTAAGAAAAAGGGTGTGGACAAGGAGAGAGCTGGCCCCAAGAAACACCAGGATTACCAGGAAACTGGCTTTGGATAAATTCTTCACTGTGGAGAACCCACATAGTAGTTGAATCTATGGGAGTTTAGGGAAGTGGAGAAATGAGTGAAATCAAAAGCGAAAGCATGAACTTTTGTGCATTTCGTAATCGCTGGGTTTTCTGCCTGGAACTTCAAGACCCCATGTCATTAGGGCTTTGGGAACACCCTTCCCAAGAAAGGTTTCTCTGTAGATAGATGAGGGTTATGCTTGGCCTCATTCCCTCCCTCAGGTCTTTATTCCAAAGTCACCTTCTCACCAAGTTCCCGGACTGTATATCTCCCTCTTCCCCAATTTGTGTTTGTCTCCTTGAAATTGATCACTCTCAAACTTACTGTAAGTTTTACCTATTTGTTTGTTCTTTGTCGTCTGCACCAGCAACAGAGACCCAAGAGGTAGGGACTCGTTACTCACCCTTATATATGCAAAGCCTAAAGTTCTGCTTGGAACATAGTAATTTTACATGAATGAATATCTAGGAAAGGAAAGAACAAGACTTTGGCTCAGGTCTCGGCGCCTCCCAATCCTACAGTTTTCCCTCTATTCCACATTGTACTCACGGTGGCTCTGTTTATGTAGTGCTAAAAACCTCCATGGAGTTGGACTTTTAGAAAATCAAGCATACTGGTTGTGTAGCATCACTCAGCCCAGCAGCTCTCAAATTGCCTTCGAAGAGCACTAATTAGGGTTCTGCAAGGAGGCTTCTAAGGCCAAAGAGATGGGGAATCACTGCCTCCTCTTGCTTGCTCTTGCAAAAGCTCTACACACATTAGCAAGTTCACAAGGTCGAGAAATTTTGCTGCAGTAAAGAAACTGGATGAATGTTAAAACTGAATTGCTCCCTTTTTGGAAAAAAAAAAAGTAAAGACTATTAATATCTTGAGGAAATAGAGTTCTATAGCTCCCAGTTTAAGGAACACAGATACAGACAAGACAACTAGCTGATTAAAAGACTATAGATAATACATTTAAAAACCCAAACCAATCACATATTACTTTACTTTGAAGATTTGAATTCCATTATCATGTTTCTTTAAGGGTTAATCTCCCAACCAAGACCCTTGAGGGAAGAGATTTATCCTATATTTCATTTGGACACTGATATTCTTGAGCACCACTGTCCAATATAAATATAAAATTGAACTTTACATGTGATCATATTAAAAATCATTAAAACAAACAGGTGAACTCAATTTTGATAATATATTTTATTTAATCCACTATATACAAAATATTTTTCAACATGTAATCGATACAAACAATTATTAATGAGATGTTTGAGTTTCTTTTATTTGTACTAAGTCTTCAAATCTGGTGTGTATTTAGCACTTAGAGTGCATTTCAAGTGCTCACTGGCCATATGTGGCTGTTAGCTACCATATTGGACGTGGCTGTTAGAACAGGTGTTAGTTAACTATAGCCAGAGGGCCAAATCCAGCCTGCCACCTGTTTTTATAAATAAAGTTTTATTAGGACACAGTCATGCACATCATTTACATATTGTATGACTTTTTTTTTTTTTTCATGCTACAGTGGCAGAGGTGTGTAACTGCAGCAGAAACATGGCCAGCAAAGTCTAAATTATTTACTGTCTTTCTTGTTGTTTGCAGTAAAAGCTTGCTGAACTTTTTTCTAAAGGATTGTTTTTTTTCCTTTTCATCTTCTTCATTGTGGTCACCCTTGTTAAATACCTCTGCCACATAAGTTCTACTCTGGGCTCCCCATGAGTCAGTCCCTGATGTCCCAACCTCTTGGGCCCCCCGCAACCCGACCCATCCAGAATGTCCACCTCAGAGGTGTCTATATGTGGCAACTTTCTACCTGCCACCTTTTCCCTGCTCCCATGTGCTTTGGTTTTCTAGGTCCATCCTTAGTTGGGGCCTGATCAAATGAACAGGAATCTTCTCCATCTGCACTGACCCTCTTCTTTTTCAACACAAAAATAAATCCTTGCAAGAGCTGGTCCTGCCACTACCCCAGTTTCTCTCTTCCCCTTCTCCTCCCCCTGTCCTCATGTCCCAGGAATAGGCATTTCCAGCCTCTCCCGTTTATAACTGCCATGCTTGATTGAGCTTTCTCCCAGGTTCCCACATTCTCTGGTTTCTTCCTAGCTTTTCCCCCACCCTCACTCCCACTTCACTAAGCTCTTAGTCTATTAAACACTGTCTACTCCAGGAAGTCCCTCTATAACCTAGATCAAATTAGGTCCACCAGCTCTGCCCTACTGAGCACAATTGCTCATTTACCATTAATGTAATTCCTTAGTTATATCCCTGTCTGCCTTCCTAGACTATAAACTCTAACTCTAAAAGTCTTGTCCACCCATCACTCTCTTCCCAGCACCACTCCTGACTCATCGTAAGTGCCCAATGAATACTAATTGGATGAATGAATGCATGATGAAATATGGCCCGGAGCAAAGTCAGTTTCTGGCATTGGCCCTGAGATTATGAGCTCTGTACCAACAATGTCCAGGGTTCATTTGGCTAATCAGTTGAAAAGACCATCTTTACACAGTGGCCTGCTCATAGCAGAAAAGTATTTTGGCAACCATCAACCATGCTTTCCAGCATGACCCACGTGGTAATGATTTAAGTAGAGGGGAGGACACAAGGACCAAGGATGTCCCTTGCTCAGTAAGCTGGAGGTGGCTGTGTGAAAGTATGCATGATGTGTGTAAGAGTGGGAGAGTTTTGAAAGCTGACAGGCCTAAGAGAAAGGTGTCTTCCTTATGGAAACACTGCAGTGCCCCTGGGCTCAGTGGAACTTCCCCACATCCTCACAACATGGCACACAAGACAAATGGTCAGACTTGCAGGGTGCACCCAAGTCCAAGGCCAGGCTTTGGTGGCTGTGCTGGAAATTGTCCCTTTATCCCTTTACATGCCCTCTCCACTCTCCCTCCCGTCCCCCTGCCATGTGTCCATCAATCAAGGCTGCCCCACAGGGGCTGCCTCAGCTTGGTATGGACAGACTACCCCAACTTAGGGCAGTCAACCTTTTGGCCTTTCAGTTCTTGGCTCTGTCATCTGCCCCCTGGGAGACGGGTGATGGCAGCACCCCAGGGGAAGACCCATGCGCTGTACGCTACCCATCCTAAAGGGCCCATTGTTTCCAACAGTTTTTGTCCTTATGAATTTTGCTAAACAAATCACGTTTAAAAAAAAAAAAAGTAGTTTGTTGAGGATTAACAAACGTCTAATGAATTCAAATCTGTGACATAATAGAGCTGGGTAAATATATTTTAAGCAATCAGCATGGAAGATTACTGACAGAGAAGTGACTATCGAATCTTAATTAAAATTGTATTCTGAGAACTGTCACTTAATATATTACTCTAACAGCCAAACAAAAAGCTGCTTAAACCCCAAGTTTAAGCGAGGGGAGGAGAGGGGCTGGTGGATACATGTAATTACTGCATACGCAAAGTGAGGGGGGCTCTCCGGTTTGAGCAGGGATTTGAAAAAATCCTGGAAGGAGCATTCTGGGTCCCTGTGAGCATCTTGGAATGGTGTAGGTGCTGGGGGGGAGCAAGGCGAGGGGACAACTAGGAGGAGAGGGCTGGCATTGGGAACAAAGAAACCGATGAAAGCAGGCAGGAGGGGCCACAGGATTATTTATTTGTGGGCAAAACTGAGAGAGGTGTGTGGGGATCAGGAGCATGGCTGTGAAATGGATGCTGGTATCAAATGTCAGGATCAGCCTTCAGAGGAGGAATCCATCTGCAAAGGAGCAAGAGCTTGTCTGCTCAGAATGTCTATGAGCCGGTCTGGGGCAGGGAGAGGGAGGCATTGCTGGGAGAGGCAGAAACCAGGCACTGGGAGAGGAAGGAGCACTCTCTCCCTGAATCTGCAGTGACCAGAGAATCAGAGCAGTGCTGGGAGCTTACCTAGGGAGGGGCAGTATGCCCTCCTGGCTGTCCCCAGGTTTTTCATGTGGCCTTCACTCTGCAAGGTAAGTGCTGCCACTAGGCCATCAGGGGCTCTCATGCAAGTAGAAAGATGTGGAAGAACTTCTAGCTGAACAACCTGGTGCAGTGAGCAACTTGCACCCCCATTCCTTGTGGCCCCATCTCCTGCTATTCCCATTTTAGCCACTAGGAAGTGAGTAAAGAGGCTTGGACCTGCTCTAATTCTCCCCACTCCCCCAGGAGAAGAACCCACAATTTCAAATGAGAGTTGGCTAATTCCAGCCCATCTTTGGAATAGAGGAGGACCTCCGGAAGCTTCCATGTGCCTTTGTATTCAAAAACTCACTGCCTCCACTATGGGATTGCTTAGTAACCTGTGACAGCTCAACTGTTCCACTAAATTTGGACACTTGTATTTCCTATTTGAGGATGAACCTGGAAGAAACACTGGTATTCTCAGAACTAGAGGCCTAATTGGCTCAGAAAAACTTGATGGTGAGTCTTTCTCTGCCCCC